ATATTCAGAAAGATAAAATTCATTATAATAATCATAACAAACTCCTCATATGCCATCATAATAATCATTAAGAGAATCCATTTAATCATAATAATAACCAGGACATCAATTAATGGATATCCCTAATATAAGTCCAGTTTAATATGTATAATAACCACCTAGTGGAATCTCACATAGTTCATATGCTTAATTGTTAAAAGATGCATCGGTTAATCGCAAAAACTTTAATGGCTCATCTGATAAAAATTCTAGTGGAAATGTATTTTCATTACCATATAGTAGTAATGGTAGTAAAACTAATCCTAATAATAATCCTAAAGAAAAGGAAGAATTAATTAGTATCTAATTAAAAAAAGCTAAACTATAAGACAGTGTCTATTATCATTAAAAACGATATCAGAATTAAATTGAATCCGAAATTTAACATACTCCTTCCAAATATTAAAAATGTCATACAACTGCTCCGTAATAATAATAAACTAAAGCATAAAGATCAGATCGTAAATCTAATTCTTGTATCTCTGAATCTGATAAAGGAGAATATTAAGTTCAATAATAACAATAAGAAAAACCTACTTCTAAATATGCAATTGCCTCATCTAAATTTACAGGAGAAACCGCTAAATAGTTCATGAGGAATCCCTTAGAAATGCCCAACATTGAATTTTACTAATCTTTCGAAAAAAGTAATCAATTTAGTGATTACTTTCCTTCATATAATGTTGATTAAGCAATTGAAAGTTATAAACAATACTAATAATCTAGATCTAGTGCTCATAAATGATTATATATATTATTATTTAATTATATTTTATATATATATATAAATTAATCTAAATAATATTTATATATCCTAAAATTATTTTTATTTATATCCTAAAATTATATTTTTATATCTAATTTTGTTCTAAAAAACTTTAATTTTTAGGTTATGCTTTTAATTTTAAGGTTATTCTAAAATTAGCAGTGCTTCTGTTATACATGTATGGTAATAACTTTATTCTTAAAATCTATGCTAAAAATAGGCTAGAGTTTAAAATATTTGCTTACTTACATAACAGCCTTCAAATCGAAAAAATTAATATTTTGTTTCATTTTCGTATTTAATAAATAAAAATGAAAAGGAAAAAAATTTGATTTATTTAAAATTCTTTATCAAATACCAATGATTACTATCGTTAACTAAACCTAAATGATAACCAAATGATAATATTTTAAATAAATTGTAGTATATAAATAAAGTAACAAATTATACTTAATTATTTTAAATTATATATATAAACATCTAATTATATATATTATTTATTAGATTAATATAATGATCTAGCTGTCTTAAATTTATAATCTATAACTTGTCACCGATATACTTTTAAATAAATGAAAAATATAATTTGATGAAGTTGATATTGAAAAATCAAGATAGTCATTCTTAACATTTATTTAAAATATCTAAAAATAAATTTATGGAATTAATACTCTTCTTGGATTGAAAATGCCTAATCCTATTAATGATCTTTTAAATTATGAAACATAATAAGTAAAAAGCTTATTTAAATCCACTCCTTTGATCTTTCTCAATTACTAAATTAAGATATATATTTGTATATTAAAAGTATAAGTAGCTTAATGGTTAGAATAATTTATAAAATTTTGATTATATTATATTTAAAATGAGTGATTATGCCTCTTCTTTAGGATTCATCTAATATTGGGGATTGTCTAAGTAATTGAATCTTGTTACATCTTAAATGAGTGGAACAATCAACATATTATTAAGTGGTATTAGTGATCTTCGTCATATTCTTGAAACTTGTTTATGTAATTATAATAGAAATGATTTACAAGTAATGAATCAAACCATATTAAATAGCTTAATTTCTATATTCATGAAAAATAGAAGGAAACTGTATGTAGATCATTATTGCTATTATTGATTATGCATACTAAAAATTTCACTTATAGAGAAAGAAGTGATATGTTTTTAGAAGTTTTTGGAAATACTTTCTTAAGAGAATCTTCAAGCAATTACATAGATAAAGTAATACCTTTTTTAGATGATTTGATTGCTAAAGAAACAAAATTTACATCTGCACTAAATTAAATGATTGATTTGCGAGAATTGAAATTTAAAGATAGAGATGAAATGACTGAAGTAATTAGATCTTGGTATTCCTATCATGAATTTAAAATTGAGAAATTAAGAGATTAAAGACTTAGACATCATTATGGTATAAGATTTGATCATCGTCTTAATATGATTGATTGGGATTATTAAATGAACCTTAAAGATTTCGCACCTATCATTCATTTTATTCATTATAGAGAATGGAGATAGTCTGGTATTGCTTTTGAATCTAGATATGCAAGTTATCCAACACCTAATAGAACTTTAGCTAGTTATTTACCTGGAAAACATAAATAAACTAAAGATAATTTATTAGTTAGAGGATATTGGGGAGATATTATTGTATCACCTTATATCTCATTTGGAATCTATACAAGTATTCAACCTGAAAATGAATAATTATTCAAAGTTAGAAATACCTAATAAGTATCACATGCTGTTACTGTTTCACAATTTAATATCTAACATATTATCTAAAAATTTGATAATGCAACTGATTATCATATACATGTTGATGAATATTTAGAGAGATAAGATAATAAATAAAAATAAGAATAAAAATAAAAATAAGAAGGTTTAGAAAAAATAGATGAAAATGACGAAGAAAATGAATAATAAGATTAATAACAATCAAAAGAATTAGAATCTTAATAATAGCAATCAAAAGAATTAGAATCTTAATAATAATAATAAAAACAAGAAGATAAATTAGAGGAAAATAATATATCTGAAATTAATACTACTACAACCACTACTGATACATCTATTAAATAAGTTATTACTAAAGATAATATGATTGTAGAAATTTAACAAGAACCTTTATAAAGTATTAATTATATTAAATTATAGCTTTTTAAAAATTGAAAGTAAAAATAATACCAATCTTTGAAGAGTTTGATAAATTATTTGAAAAAAAGAAATATCAAAATTTGTTTGATGTCGGAGTATTAGGGTTTATGGATTCTATTAAAGTAAGAGAGCCAAAGTTAAAAGAATTATTTAAGAAATAATGTAATGAATTTATTTATGTTTTTCAATAGCATTATTATTTGTTGAATCCACTTAATTTATAGTACCGTTTTCAAAAGAGGAAAGAACAAAAGGAAATGAAAATGTGTAGAAGATAAGTGTTAGTGATGGAGGATGGAGTTTGTAAAATATAAATTTGGAATATATTACTTTAATTAAAAAATGAAGAATTAATATATTTTGTTTATAGCATTATCAATTGCTTTAGCTTAAACAGATAATTCTAATAAAAGTGGGAATTCAGGGTCACATAGTGAATAAGAAGAAGAAGGTTGATTAAGATATAAAAATAGGACCTAGTAAAAGTTTAGTATATGGAGTAGTGGTGATTTTGTTATGTGGTTTAGGTTATTTTATATATAACTTTTATGTTTGTCATAAAAAAAAGATTGATTATGGTTTAGATGGAGATGAAGAAAATCATTATGAGATTGAGATTTAAAAGAGAAAGGATAATTTATGATTTTATTACATAATCAATCAATGAGAATAGCATCAGAAAATGAATTACCTATTTTTTTGTTTGTTTTTGGTTCTGGTAAAGGAGGAGGTGGTTTTTATTTTTTAGGTTCTGCAACAACTTAATTGGAGATCCTTAAAATGCGTTATGAAATCTATTCTAATTGAATAATTCGATTATTATTGCTACGAGTGGATTCTGGAATAGTCGATTCTTACTATTTCAATAAAGCTCTCAATTCAGTATTTTCTACTTCACCCTAAAACAATTAAGCACTCTGTTTACAAACTAATTAAATGAAACTTCATTAATCTTCAAATTGTACTATTTGATTATAGTAAGAATGCACATTTAATATGCATCTATTTATAATCCAAGAATCATCTATTTACATATTGGACATTTCCATTTTCTAGGACTAACACTTTTCATCATTGTTACTAAATTTTCTAATGAAAAACACTAAATATGTTCACAAATATTCCCTCTTGCTGGAGTCTAGATTTAATTTAGATCATAAACACAATCCAAACTAACCTTTATACTCTCCATTGTCACCTCATCAAATTAATTTTATAAAATAGACAATTAAATTAATTTCTTACTTTACTCAATTCCCAATAAACAATTTTAATCCATTTTTACTTTTTTTATAAATTCACTCAATTTATAAATTCTTACTTAGAATATTCCCAACATATATGGAATTCCTTAGTTTATTCTATAAGATTTTAAATCTTAACTTCCATTCTATTCTCTTATTGTAAGAATATTAACTTACCCTTATTCAATATTAAGCATAATTTTTTCATCCTTTCTTTTTTTCAAACAGCTATTATTTGCTAAAGGTTTGAAATCTTGAATCTTTTTTCCATTTAATTAAAGATCACCTAAATCAGGCCAACATATATCTTCAAATTATCCATCAATTTTAATTGATCTCAATTCAACCAAATGTTCTGTTGGTAATCCTTTTTTCATTTCAAATTTTTATGTAAACTAATTCACTCTCCCTTCTAATGATTAAAATATTACAGGATCTAAAATTGACTCTTATAATTCATGTAAGGGATCCATTCCAATTATTATACATTCTGGACATACAAATACTTTTTTTGGTTTTTCAATCCTAAGACAAGAAATATGAAAATAATTTTTGCAAACTGCACATCTCAATGCTAATGGTTTCAATACTATTTGATTACTCTTTTTACAAACACAATATGGACAATTTAATTGTTCTTCAGTTGGATTTGAATACTAAGCTAAGGTAATCAATTCTTATTCTTATTTTTAAACTTTCTATTATTATTCATCTGGAGTCTTTTGATTTGAATCAATTTCTAAATCAATCACTATTGGTGACGATCTTGTACTCTAAGAATCAATTATTTTTTATTATTCAATCAAGAATTGTATAGTTGATTTTTGATGTTGGAAGAAATTATTAATTCGCTAATTTATATGATCAATTATTTTCTTTAAAATAATGTGTCTATTTATCTTTGGCACATCATCTAAATTAAAAAAGCTACCTAAAAATAAATCGCTAATCGTTTTTGGAGGATTGAATATTTGTTTTTAAATCATCTTCTGTTTCTGAAGATTAAAAATGAATTCTAAAAATATTGATTTAAAATTCAAATCGAAATCCTATTGTATATTGAATTCCTCTGCTAATTCAATCTAAACCTTACTATTTATCTATTAAATATATATATCATATACTCACTTAGTTTATCAGTATTCCCTCATCAAGATATTTTGGTATCAATGAATTTACTTCCTCTCTAATCTCTTTTAAATGTTTCTCAAGTTCTTTTTTTAACATTCTAAATTTTGTTATTTTTAATATTCGATTATATATTTTCTTAAATAATACATTGATATTTCTAAATACGTATAAAATCATTATTTTTGAAATTCTCTTCATTTCAAATACTCTTATTATTAATTTAATTCATTCTACTTGTTGTAAATCACAAAAACTATTTAATTATAGAACTGAAAAAGAAAAATCAATTATTTCATTAGAAACAAATTAAATTTTCATAAATACCAAACCTTTATGTTTTATGAAATAACTCTACACAAAAAATTAAAATTTTTATACATAAAAATGTAATAATTTCAAAACAATATTTACATTATGATTCGAAATTTAAATAATTTAGTCTAATTTTCATTAAATCAATTAGATTAAGAAATCTAAATAATGTCAATACAATTCTAGAGTAAGTAAATCGATGAATTTTTAGAAAAAAATAAGAAATTCATCAAAATTTAAAAATTATTAAATTAAAATAAAGTTAAAGGTAACTTTTTTTTATTTCTATAATATATTAATTTCCTATTAATTCAAATAATCTAATCTTTCTAATCTTTCCTAATAGGATTATTCAAATATTTAAAGATAAAAAAATGAATAATTTACATTCACTAAAATATGATTATTAGGTTTTGACAGATATTCCTGACTTAGAATAAATAATTATTTTTTAACAATATCAAAAACTAAATAATTCAGATTGTTTTTGAATAAAACATTAATCAATAAGAGAGATATATTTATTTTAATTAAAGATTCTAGTCAAGTCAAATACTTCTATTATACTAAAATGAAGTTTCATGATAACTAAAAAAAAGATTTTGTTACTTGAGAGTGTATATTATTTTGGTTTAGAGGTAAAATGCCATGAAAGATTTTCGATAATAAATGTTATTTTATATGCAATAATTGGAATATCAAATAATGCAATTGAATAATTGAAATATCAAATAATGCAATTGGAGTATGTTGTGTACATATTATTTAAATAATTATTTTTTATGTGTTTGAAGTTTTTTCAGATATATTTTATAATTTAAGTTTTTATGCAAGATATTTAAGAAGAGCTAGAATGCCAATAAGCGAATCACGATCAGGCAAAAATATACTTTTTCTGTCTAAATAAAGAGTGTAAATTTAGTAGAAAAGGTTGTCATTATTGTGCTGAAGAAATCCATAAATCTCATTTATAAGATTGTTTTATGATTAAGTTTATCTAATAATTATTGGATAATGAAAAAAGTAAATTGAAAAAATTTAATGAGCGTGTCAATGAATTATATTAAGAAATTAATAAATTAGGAAAGAAAATTATTGATCAGATTGATCAATACATTAATTTATTAAAAGAAAATGATTTAAGTAAAGTTGAGGACATTATAAATTTGACTTTAAATATATATGATAAATCAATAATTGAGAATAGAAAATCGATATTTAAAATTGCAGTGGGTTAATGTGAATAATAATTATGGATAGAATTTGATAATATATATTCTTAAGACTCTAAATAATTCTAAATTGAACTATGCAAAAATTAAAGTATGTGCTAATATCATACTATATCAAAGGTGTTTTTCTATTAAAACATAATAAATATGAAGAAGCAAAAGTTAAATTAAATGAGGCTTAGAAAATTAGTCCAAATGATTTTGCTCAAAGAAGTTTAGGTTTAAGTTTTTTTAATGATTTGCAGATTTAATTTAAAACTTTAAAGAGCATGACTGGAATATTGTGTCACCTGTAGAGATGCTTTAATAGATGATACAAAGTTGTTTACATATTTAAATTAATAAGAATAGCACTTATTTAATAAAACTCGTTTTTCATGGGTAAATGAGTAGAAATCGACAAATTTTATTCATCGAATCATTAATATTATGCAACATAAAACAGTTAAAGAAATAAATGAAGCATTGAAATTAAGCATTATATTTTACTAAGAATCCTCTTAATATGATGATCAAGATATATAAATCAATCTTGAGTTTAGTAAAAATAAACTTAATTTAATAATTAGCATTTTTATTAGCTTTATATTCACAATAAGATTAAGGAATTAAATTTTATGAGAAGAAATTGCAACAATCATCCAATTGCCATTTGATAAATTTATGCAAAAGTACCTATATTGAATATTAAGCCATCCTTTTGGTAACCAAAAATCCTGAATAAAAAACTGCAATACTTTAAAGCAATAAGGAATCTTTGAATTAATTTATGATATCAATCTGTCCTAAAGAAAATGGATATGAATAACATTATCTTCAAAATCTTATTTAGGATTTCATTAAAATTTTGACTGAAAGTTATTTTTTGAATTATAATAGGAATATACAAGTTACGTAAGAATCCATTAGTTGATTTATACTTTAGTAGTAATATTGTAACAAAATCTTTTAGTTTATCTCAAAAATCAGTTTTCAGAAGTAGATTGTTATGACTTAAAATAATAGATTAATATAGAATAATAAGATTTTTATATTTCTTATCTTCTTTGTAAAATATTGATAATATTTATAGGTATTAATCTACTGGAGTAGTTTAAATTTAATGATTTAAAGTAATAAAGTAATATAGCGATTAAATTATTTCCACACAAAACAGCTTTTTATTTTTTTTAAGGTATAATTTTATTTTAAATGAATAGCTTATTGTTTAATTTTAGAGGAATAATATGAAGGAGTTTTAGATGTCATTGATTTAGAATAATAAAAAACGAAATAGAAAGATTTATAATTTTTAAAGGGTGAGTGTTTAATGAGATTTTAGGATTTATTCTATATAAGAAAAAGAAGTATGAGGAATCTCTAAAGTTATTTGAGTAATTGTAAGATTAATATAACTTTGAATATTATTAATAAATGCAAGGTTTACTTTTAGAATTAAATTAAATAGGAATCTTATCCTTTTATCTTGGTCAAAGGGAATAGGCTTTAGAAATTTTCAAAAATATATACACAAGAAATCCTAAAAATTAACAAGCACTTTATAATTAATGTAAACAAGTAAAGTGTATTTATAGGTGTTACATTATTTCATTTAAATGAACTTGAAGTTGCAATAGAGTGTTTAAATTAAGTTTAAAATAATTAGAAATCTTATCTTTTGAAAGCATATCATAATATTCTTTAAGGAAATTTTAAGGAAGCTGAAAATTAATTAAAAAATCTTGATATGCATCATTAGAAATAAGGACAATGTTTATATGGTAAGAACATAATATCTAATTATTAGCTATAAGTTTATCAGAATCAAATTAATTCAATCAAGCTGATTAAATAATTAATATGATAATTTAAAATAATGAATATGATAAGCTATTTATAAAACATGGTAATTATGTGTAATTATAAAAGGATTGAATTTAATTAATAATGGTTATTTATAGGAAGCTAAGAATTTTTTTGGAAAAATGATAGAAAATGGAATGGAATAAGAAACATCTTATCTTTTTTTGAGTAAGAAATAAAAAGTGAATTAGGTTATATTTTACTGGATTTGAAATAATATGATGAATTAAAGGAGAGTTTGGAGGAACTTTTTAGATTAAATCCAAGACAATAAGGGGGAGTGATTGAATTGTAGGAGTATTTATAATAAGAAAATGATGATGAATTAGTTAGATAGATTTAAGGTAATTAATTTTGATATTGATACAATAGATAAGATTAAAAAAGAATTAGTAAAGATTAGTTAAGATTGTTTGTAGGATGGTTTAATAAGTGTATTAAATTTTGATGATGACTTTGGAGAAATAATGATACATTTGATAAAATTTAAATGGATTAGAGATCTTTATACAATGTGCATTTAATTTGGAATGTTAGAAGAATAAAAATGAAATATAAAAATAATTATATTTAAGATATAGAGATAAGAAAATAATAAGAAATATAAGAATATTTATTTAATAAATAAATGTCTAAGTAATGTGAATTCAAGATAGGAAATATAGTGGATCCAAAATTATGGGCTAATCCTCGAACAATGAGTAGTTAGTAATTATAATCATTTACTTCTTTGGAAATGGTGAGATTGAATTACACATTTAAGACATTAAAGAAATCTTTACCTTATATAGTAGGTGTAATTAGTGGATGTTTAATAACAAAGTTTGTAGTAGATGGTTTGGTGTAAGGATTTATATTTGGTGAGAATGATATTGAATAAAATTTGATAATTAGGAAATGGTGGAAGATTATTGGAAATGAAAACATATCATAATATTGTTGATTATACTTACAATAGATAATTTTAGAGAATGAGATATTTGACAGAATTACCACCTGGTAATAATTTAAACAGTATGGTTCAATAGGAGATGATTCTCTTGTTACAACTAGTGATTATTTATTACATGATTTGGAGTAAGTAATCAATAATTTGGAATATAACATAATGTTGTAAAGAGAGTACCACATGATAAATATTTGTTATGATTATTAGTATAAGGTATAAAATAAATAAATAAATCAATAAATAAATAAATAATTGATTTCTCTATTGATTTTTATCAATATCAATAAGATTATTGTTTGAATGAGATCTAATCAAATCTGATGTTATAATAATGAATATTAATTATTTTGTAACATGCAACTTAATGCTCTTTGACTTTATTAATAATAATTACATATATGTTTATTTGTTGCAATAGTAACAAGAAAGCTAAAAGAAAGGAAAATAATAGTCAATAACCTATTAAGGAATAGACAGTATAGCCAAAATATTAAATTCGTACATCTCTTGATCAAGATTAACATTCTACCAATTTAACAAATTTTGAAGGCACAACTGATAGGATGAACTTTAGTTCCTAAGATTTCGAGAGATTTATTTTAGATGATAAAAAAACCTTAGAATAAGAACGTGAACTTGTTATGAGATTGCTAGAAATGCCAGAGAAAACACATTTGATTGAATTTAATTGGGCTTATTCTTATACAAATTATATAAAGGATGAACGCATTAATCCAGGAGAAATCGCTAATAAAATATTAGTTGATAAGATAAGGAACAAAGAAGAATTGATTTCTGATAAAGATTATGTTTTGGTAAATGATTAAGTTTGGAATATGTTGGTTCATATTTATAAAGGTGGTCCTATGATTACTATACATGATCTTGAAAGAAAAAGTGATAATAATATCTTAAATTAATCATTGAGAGTTTTTGCTTCACCATCTATGATAGATCTAGATAAGAAATAATTTTAATTTAGATTATTAAATCAATTACCTACTAAAGAAATTTAGATTGTTGGATTAGAAAATGAAAGTTATTTTTGTTATCTCAACAGTGTTCTCTAATGTTTAATGGGTATTCCTTAACTAAATCATTACTTTTTATATTCTTACAATTAAGATATTAAGCTTTTTACTTAAGCATATACAATCTTATTAAGAAAAGTTAATAAATTATATTACAAAGCAAGAATACTACCAAAAGAATTGATTAAAATTTTATAAAAAAATTTCTCAATTTATGAAATGCATGATAGTTCCGAACTCTTGCTTTTTATTCTTGATAAATTTAGAGAAGAAACTACTCTCTACAATTAGTTAGATTATACATTTATTGATGAATTATTTAGAGGTCAAATTACATCCTTTATAAAATGTCCAATTTGTACCAATATTAATACACATCAAGAAATTTTTTATGATTTAAGTCTACCATTAATTAGTAAAAACTTTATACAAAAAAAACTTACTATTAATGAATGTCTTACTAATTATTTTAAAGAAGAAATTATTGATGGAGGATGGACATGTTCTTAATGTAATAAATTATCCAAAAACATTAAAAGGTGTATTAAAATTACAAATGCTCCAAACATTCTTATTTTACAACTTAAAAGATTTCAAAGCTATCCACTTAAAAAGAAAATTAAAGAACCTGTAATTACTGCTACAGAAATCAATATTGGAAAGTATTTATTTAAAATTAATATAAAAAAGTTGTTGTGCTACAGATATTTTAGATGTAAAATATGAATTATAAGCAATGATTGTACATTCAGGAACAATTGATTAAGGACATTATGTTGCAGTTGTGAAACGACATTAATAAGTAATCCTATTATAAATACTAGTTTTTTTTATTTAATGATGATGAAATTGAAAGACTTTCATATGATCAAATCTCTCGTATTGATTCTGCTTACCTTCTTATTTATCAAAGAAAAATATGATTAATTCAATTGTAAATATAATAATTAATTTAATTTAAAAATGTAATTTAAATAAAAGGACCCATATAATTTAAGCAATTTATTAGAATTTTAGTATCCAGATATATTTCAAAAAGCCATGACCTTTAAATAATATTATTAAGAATATACATCTAGAAATAAAGATAATCCATTAAAATTTGGTACCAATGAAAACTTTATTGAATTGGGTTCTGATCTCATTGATTTTTATTATACTGATTTCTTTGTATCTCAAGAGTAACTCATATAGATGGATTTTATAGACTTCCTAATAAAGATCATAAGACATTTAAAACTTTTGCTGATATTCGTAGATAAAAATAAACTGTCTTATCTGAAAAGAATCTAGCGGAGATTGCTCAGTAATTGGGATTGAAAGATAAAATGTTTGTTTCAACTAATACTAATAATGAAATAAAGTAAATTTAGCAATTAAGTAAATTAGAAACAATCAAAAAATATAGACTCAAGCACTAAAAGCAGTTATAGGAGGACATTATTTTGATAAATAAAAAGATTTAAATCTTTTAAGAAATCTAATGATGATTCTCTATCAAAATTTAATCAAAAAGTCTCTTGTATTATAATGATTTATTTTGTAGGATGAATCTATGTGTTTACCAAAGTCTGAAAATTTTAAAGGAGATTTTAAAGAGTATATGGATAAACACCCAGAATTTTCATATAAATTAAATTATTTAGAATATAAAAGTAAATTTGATTAAAATCAAACGATTTATGAATATGAACTTGTGATTAATGATGTTTTACCAATTAAAAGAGATGGAGAATAAAAAAGGATTGTTGAAAGATAAGTTTTTAAAGATGCCATGTAACTTTTAAAGTCTGATTAATTTCAATAATTATTAGATGATAGCATAAGAAGTTAATTAGATTAAACTATAGATAAGTCTTGCTATAATTTTTAAGAATCAGAATTAAATTAATAGAAGTTTTCAAGTGAAATTCATAAAATATTATAATTTGAAGTGCAATAAGGGAAGCTAGAATAGGGTCTTGAAAAATAAGATTTTGGAAACTTAATTGATAGCTTCTTATAAAAATATTGAATAAGGAGAAAAGGAAAAAAAATTTATAAATATTAATTACATTATATAAATTATGAGTGAACAAGATTACCATACAAATTCACGTTATTCAACACTCTAATCAAATAATTACTAGAGTTAATTATTAACCACTCATTTTGGAAAGTTGTTGGATAAGAACGAAGCATTCTTCAATCATCTTAAAGGGGACTGTATTTGTGGTAGATGTATTTGTGGATAATGCAAATGTCCTAAAATGCTTCTGTCAAATGATTTTAAAAAAGGATAAGAATCTTTGTATTAAAGAGATTTTATCACACATGGTAAATAAAAGTAAATTCCTCTGATTGATCACAATGTAACTTACAAGAGTTAGTTACCTATGGATATAGATACTATTTAAAGAGTATTAATTTACTAATAATAATTTAGAGTACATATTAAATTCATCGTGATGCTAAACCAGCTGAATCTTTAAAACCTGAACAAAAAGTCTTTTTGATTCCATTCAGTAGTTCATCAGCATATAGAGTAAAAATATTTATATTTTTGTATTTAGCTTGATTATGCTGGAGGTGGCATGTCATCTCTTAAAATTAATCCTCCTCATCATCCTACTGTAGTTGATATGCCTATGACTACACATTCAACTTATCAAGATAATTTTTATAAAAAACCTATTCCAAGAGAAGAATTTTTAACTACTGCAAACAAAAGCAGTTTTAAAAGTCCTATATCTCCAGAATTACCTTTTATTCATCAATCTACAAATAATGCTTTTTATAAACCATATCAAACTGGAAAATTGAATAAAATTGATCCAGAATAAGTATATTTAATAATTTAACTATTAGTAAGTCAAAATGATTCCAGCTTTTGATGGTCAATTTAATTCAACTACACAAAAAGATTTTGATGATAAGAATCCAAAAAAATGTCCATCTAGAGTATTTTTAAACTCCATCTACAAATAAAAACTTTAATAAATTGCTTGAATTAAATAAAATAAAAACATAAATAAATTAATCTTTGTATATCATTTTAATTTTTAAAGTTTTCTTATTTTTTTACGCTATTTCAAAATTTCAATTATTATAAGAATTATTCCTTATTTAATGATCTCATAAATCTTTTCATAAAACATGAGTAAAAATGCTGAATTCAATACAGATTAACATAATTTTGGTATCAAACCTACTTGATAAGATATATTGATAAACCTTTAAATAATCCTTGTATTCCTTCATTTTTTATAATCTTTTCAGCAGCTGATAAATATGATTTTGAACTATTTTTCTGGATATGTGTTTTGGTTCTTAGTAATTGGTAAGGCTAATATAAAGATATAAATTTGAAACATAAGTTAAAATAGTAGAAATGGCCTTTGAGATAGCTCCTCCAATAAAATTAACAATAGTTTAATTTTCTGCATATTAGAATCTTCTTTTAAATGCTTCATAGCTAACAAATTGAATGATAGGATTAATAGTTAATATAAGTGAGGCTTAGAGTCCTTTCATTAAAGCTTCCCATCCTTCTTTCTCAATAATTTGCTTAGTCATTTAAAAAAAGTTAAGATTATCTTTGCTGATAGTCATCCTTGATTATACAACCCAAAATGGATTTGTGACAAATGTTGTGAGAATAGCAGATGCTAAAGATGGTTTTATTAAAGCAAATGAATTAGAAATATCTGTTTTAAATAAATGCTTAAAATACTCATACCTTATGGTAAAATAAAAAATATATATACCAAAAAAAGTAAACACCATATGAAATATAGTTTCCTAATGCTAATGGGGTTACACCTTTAAAAAATCCTTAAAGGCCTTCTTATTACCAGACTTTTACAATAACCTCTTGAAGGATTTCTTTCTATTGTGATGCAGCCATTCTTGTTTTGATGTTTTCCAGAGGATAAAGTAAACATGTAGAAAATAATCCTGCTAAGGCACCAGCATGTCCATGTGCCATACTCTCAATATCTTTCAATCTATCCATATTAATTATTTATATTATCAAATAACTTCTAAAAACCCAAACTTCTCTTTCTAACTTTCCTTTACAGATATAGCATTCAATATTTTTTTGGCTCTGTATTTTTTCTTCCAAACTACTTCCGCATCATCTCCAACTGTATTTGTATTTCTAGGCATTTAATTCAGATTTGTTTAAAATGATCTAGTCTGTATTTTTTTTTAAGATTAGAGATCAACTTATTTCTTTTCTGAAGAATTAAATAATTTTCTAAATGTATCTTTACGAGGCTTTATTTTATTAGGCTAAACAGGACATGTCATTTTCCAAATTTCAGATTTCATATCCTAATCAATAGAACAGCTACTTCTTGCAGCACCTAAATTAATATAAAAATATAATTACTTATTCTCATATGTCTCAAAATTTCTAACTAATTTCTTAATTCTTTGTTTGGATTCTTTCTTTATGGATTTAATCTATAAAAAACATCATCATCTAAGTTCTTAATTGTTTTATCTTTTGTATTTACTTAACTCTTAATAAAGTATTACTACTTTTTCAATCTATCCCTTTCTTTATCAATACTCTAATATAAATAAGCTATATTTACATCTTCAGAGTCCTATTATGCTATTTCTTACATTTCATTAACATTTGTTAGTTTTTTTAGTAAATGAAATACATCTTTCCCTCCATGAGGTTTACTATGTTCAGAATGATTAATCGAGACATTTTCAAAAGATTATTAACTTGATACAAAATGATTTGATGCTGTACGTTAGCATGATTTCATTTGAAGTTCATTACTAGTAAAAGCACATCCACTTTTAAATTTTCCTTCAGCAAAATCCAATCCTTTTAATCGCACTATTATTAATTAAATACTAATTACATTATTAACTGTAAAATTTTAGTTTCTTATGTATTTCACCTAATTTCGAGAGAGCATTCTTCAACATACCTCCAGTCCTTTGTTATAAATGGTGTTTGAAGAACATTTTTTTTGTTTCCAAATATCTCATTAACGCTTCTTCATCGGGGTCATTCTCTTCACAATGCTTTTACACTTCTTTAGTCAATCTAAATCAATAATTTATTTAATTACTCATCTACCATATCTTATTAAATAAATAATCTTTCTATTTCATCAGACAAAAGAGATTTTATGAATCTTTATACAATTTATAAGTATTTAAACTTTGTGATTGAAGAATGAACATGCTTCTTAGGTATATGAACAGTATTTAACATTTATTTCTAAGATAATAATTTTGTATGTTTAACATGAACAAATTCTTATTTCTATTCTAAAATTGTTGTAGCTAACATAGATGGTTTCTTTTAAGTTGGTGTTCTAATTATCTCATTGATGTATAAGGCATTCTTCAATTATTCCAGAACTAAAAATATAGGAGATGGAACCAATTCACTTAATTCTTATATATGTTTAACTAAATGATTCATTCTTGATACATGATTTCTTAAAAAATTAAACAACCTTATAACTGCATTTTATACTCGTTTTACTTCGTTCTCATTTCTCTATTCATTAAGATCCAATTCAACACTTGTTGATAATATATTTAAAGTAATCTAATTATTATTGTAATTATCTGATAGTTTTATATGCAAAAGACCATTTGAAGTCTCAGGATATTTGTAATAATTGGTTTCTCTCATAATTTACTGAAGCTCAAACTTTTTTTCATTTAATTGTATAAATTGAAATCCTAGCCTATCAAACTATTCCTTCTACTCTTAATATTTTTGAATTACTAGATCCGAAAAAGCTATTAAATCCTATTGGATATCTAACTCATTCAATTAATTATTAGGATTTTTTATCAATTCTATTAATTTAAGATCACTTTCTTTTTCTTCTTATTTTGGAGATTCAAGTGTTTCTTATTCTACTTATTCTATTTAAGTTGCAAAAATATTCATAACTGAAGCTGGATTTGAAGATTAAGCTTAAGATTATGTCAACTTTTTATTTTATCTAATTATTTGTTATCTTTGCTCAAATTAATACTAAAATAAATTTTTAGGATCATCTTTATTGAACATTTCGTCTAATAATTTTATAGTATTGGCATAGCATATTACAGTTAATTATTCCTACTATTTAAGTTGAATTTTTGCTCTCTTCTAATCAAGTTCTGCTATTTCTTATCTTTATTATTAAATTATATCATTTTTCTGTTAATATTTTTACCTATATTCGATGTATTCGTTTTATAATTGTTTTATGTCTTATTAAATTAATGAATGTTTGTCTATCAATATTTATTTTTGTAGGTTTTATGCATTTTTCAATAATGAATGATATTCATGGGCTTCCATTGCATTCTTTTTACTTTATTAAAGTAATTAATTTGATTGGACTTCTTCTTGTTGAGCAGCTTCATTATCTTTATTAAATCCTTACAATAATTCTAATACAGAATCCGTGTGCTTCTTAATATCGGTTATTTTTCTCAAAATCGTATCAATTACATTCTATAGCTAATTTTGTTTCAGAGTTTCTTTCTCAATTTAAAATTATAAATTCTCTTCGTTAACATTAAAGCTCTATCTGCTCATAGTAAACTATGTGGAAGTAGAACCTTGTAAGGAAAATTCTTATGAATAGGGTTGCTTTTAATATAACTGATTACTCAGTTATTTTCGTTGTTCTTTTATTTGACTTAATAAGTTTTTGAATGCACTTTAATTGCCTTCACTTTAACATTCAGATATACGAAAACCATCCAACAGTTCTTCACTATCTAATGATGAAAAATTACATGAAATTATCTCCTTAATTCATTATATTATATAATCAAATAAGCCAATAAAAATCCTAATCATTTGTAGATTATTATTAATCTTTTAAATTATTAGTGAAATATCTTTAACCTGAAGAACTTATTAGATCAATTCGAAATTAATGCGTCTTATATTATATCATTTTGATTAGATAAATAAAAAAGGTTGGTTAAATAAAATTTTTCAATTACAGATTATCTATATTTTTTGTTATTTTTCTGATTACAATAATCCTCAATCTTAAGTTAATTTTTGCATAGTTTTTATGTTAGCTTATATCATTAAAAAAAATAAATCAATTATTTAATAACTTTCATAAAACTTTGCCTATTTTATTTCTGAAAGTTCCTCTCCAATATTTTTGAAAAAGAATATTGATTAATGATTTGATTATTTTATAATTTTTAAATTAGACTCCATCTCTTGGTCTTAAGCAAATTTCCTGCTAATTCTTATGAAATTCTAGAAAAAATTTCAATGGAGAATTGATCAAATTAATTAACCAAGAAATTTTTTTTCAAACTAAGTTTGTTNTCTTATCTTTATTATTAAATTATATCATTTTTCTGTTAATATTTTTACCTATATTCGATGTATTCGTTTTATAATTGTTTTATGTCTTATTAAATTAATGAATGTTTGTCTATCAATATTTATTTTTGTAGGTTTTATGCATTTTTCAATAATGAATGATATTCATGGGCTTCCATTGCATTCTTTTTACTTTATTAAAGTAATTAATTTGATTGGACTTCTTCTTGTTGAGCAGCTTCATTATCTTTATTAAATCCTTACAATAATTCTAATACAGAATCCGTGTGCTTCTTAATATCGGTTATTTTTCTCAAAATCGTATCAATTACATTCTATAGCTAATTTTGTTTCAGAGTTTCTTTCTCAATTTAAAATTATAAATTCTCTTCGTTAACATTAAAGCTCTATCTGCTCATAGTAAACTATGTGGAAGTAGAACCTTGTAAGGAAAATTCTTATGAATAGGGTTGCTTTTAATATAACTGATTACTCAGTTATTTTCGTTGTTCTTTTATTTGACTTAATAAGTTTTTGAATGCACTTTAATTGCCTTCACTTTAACATTCAGATATACGAAAACCATCCAACAGTTCTTCACTATCTAATGATGAAAAATTACATGAAATTATCTCCTTAATTCATTATATTATATAATCAAATAAGCCAATAAAAATCCTAATCATTTGTAGATTATTATTAATCTTTTAAATTATTAGTGAAATATCTTTAACCTGAAGAACTTATTAGATCAATTCGAAATTAATGCGTCTTATATTATATCATTTTGATTAGATAAATAAAAAAGGTTGGTTAAATAAAATTTTTCAATTACAGATTATCTATATTTTTTGTTATTTTTCTGATTACAATAATCCTCAATCTTAAGTTAATTTTTGCATAGTTTTTATGTTAGCTTATATCATTAAAAAAAATAAATCAATTATTTAATAACTTTCATAAAACTTTGCCTATTTTATTTCTGAAAGTTCCTCTCCAATATTTTTGAAAAAGAATATTGATTAATGATTTGATTATTTTATAATTTTTAAATTAGACTCCATCTCTTGGTCTTAAGCAAATTTCCTGCTAATTCTTATGAAATTCTAGAAAAAATTTCAATGGAGAATTGATCAAATTAATTAACCAAGAAATTTTTTTTCAAACTAAGTTTGTTAATACAAAAGAGTTTGTAAATACTCATTTTTTTGAAAAAAATAAAATGATATAAGATAAGTCTTTTGTTTAATATAAATACGGACTAAAAGAGAGCATTACTAGAATAATTTATTTTATAGTGAGTAAACTTTTTTAATAATTTAAGATTAGAATTATACTTTAGAAACCTTTATTTTTAATTTGCTTAATAGTATTTTCCCTATTTATTTAAAATATTTTTTTATGAATTAAGATAATATAATCAATATTAACTTCTTTACTAATGAAAATTAATTTTTACAATAACTTTCAACATCTTAAAAATTCTAATAAATATAATTAAATATTCAGGAAATAGCAAAATGTCCATGATTAATTCTGAATCTCAACCAATAGCTATAGTTAGTTTATAAATGGAAGATGGAGTTGAAGAAATAAAAGTATATGAAGGAGAGGATGTAGAATTAGAAGTGGAGCTTTTCTGCTAGAGATATAAGCTTGGTAATGATTGTTTAGAATATCTGGTTAATTAAATTAAGCAACAATTAAAGCGTGAACCCTCACCTAGATTTGGAGATTTTAATAAGTAAAGATATTTGAGCAAAGGGTCATTACAAACAAGAAGCAGTAAACAGAGCGATTTTGGACTTATAACATCAGCTAGCTCTGATGAAAATTAAATATCAGCATAAAAGAGTTATGAAGAATGGCAGAAAAAAATTAACAAGAAAGTTGAGGCTAATTCAAATTCTAAATTTTAATTATATGGATAATCATCAAATAGCTGTAAGTTATTTTAATATTTAGTAAATAATTAAAACAATTCTAGTGCGATTAATAAAAACGATAGAATTTATGGAGAAGCAACAACCCTAAAATAGAATAGGTTTGAAAAACAAAAATAGCAGCAACCTTAAAATAGTTTTAAGCCTAATATTTCCCCAAATACTAGATATGTTTAGCAATATATAAAGAAGCCTGAAGATGGCTCATTTTGTAAAATTGGGCATTAGTTTTATTAGAAAGAAATGGGATAAAATTAAAAAACATAATAATAAATACTTCAAGCTTAAAAGGACTAAACTTAAATGAGATCCTTTTAACCAAGAAGATCTGATATTACAAGCCGAAATCATTCAGAGCATAATAGATCATCAAGCTATACAAAGAATAGATCAAATACTCCAGTTAATGAAAAATCTTAAGGCTAGGAAAAACAAGGAAAATAAAAGAAATTTGATTAGCTGAAACAGGAATTTAAAAAAATTTACTCTATTAATCCTCAAATAATTAATTTATATAAAAAATAAGAAAATTTAAAAGAATCGTCCTAATAAAAAGTTAAAAAGTTTTTTACAGATTAATTTGAAAAGAAAAAAAGGATTGAATAGAAATAGTAATTAATTTATTATAATTAGACCAGAAAAATCAATCTAAAATAATTCTACGTTTGAAAATTAAATTATTAAAGATTAAGTTTATTAATAAGCTACTAAAAATTAGGATTTTGAAAATCAAAAACAAATTCAATTAAAGTAAAATAACAGAAGCACAAGTAATTTATCACATAGATCAGATTCTGGATAATTAATCAATATTACAAAAATAAATTAGTTTGACCATAATATAAAAAAAATATTCAGACAATTAGACGGAGATAAGGACGGCTTTATTAGTAAAGATAAACTTAATTTGTCAGGGATAGAAGTTTAATTACTAGAATTAGTAAGTGAGGCATTATATAAAATAGAAGAAGAAGATATAATCGCAGATCAAAATTAATTTAAAAAGATTTGTTAATCAATGGGATTATCAGAAAAACTTAAAAATTAAAAAATTTGAGAACTGTTTTGTTTTAATTGAGTTAATTAAGTTTATAAACTATTTTTCTTTTTAACTTATTTTAATAAGAATTAATATTTAGGAGAAGCATTAAATTATTCAAAATATGCTTTATATTTTAAAAGCATAATTTATTGAGAAAAATCTATTTTTATTTTAAAATCTTTTGTTCTCGAATAATTAATTATGATAGATTAAGTATAAAAATACTTAGGATAAAATAATATTTTTATTTAATAAAATTAAAATAAATAATAAATTATATTCAACAACTATTAAATTTAAAA